ATGTCTAAAATCGCCACATACTCGCCATTTTCCTGGGGTTGACTTGGGAACTAGATGTAATGGCGAAGACCAGGGGGACTTTGACGGTTTAATAATTCCAGCTTGGTCTCGAAGTGGGCATTATATGACAGTGCCGCGAACTCCTGTTTAGCTGATTTATATTTTTCTTCTGACAGTTGTTGGACCTTGGCATGAGTAGGGGCGCTATCTCCAGTGTCTATGACATGTGTTACTTTCGTGTTAGACACTGAAGGCTGTTCTGTACGTGGATTGGTTAGTTTTGGAAATTCTTGGAGGAGGGACTGCACTTCTTCTGGTAGGTTATTGTGGTTATTCACAGTTATACACTGAATCTGTGCGGTGACTCGTCCTCCTTGTGTATATCGATGGGTTTCCTCATCAATGAGCCTGCCCTTTTTGCAGTCTGAGATTAGTCCATAGTGGTGCAGAAAATCTGCTCCTAAGAGGGGGTTGACGGTATCCGCTACTACTACGGTCCATGTGTATGAACAGCGTATGCCCGGAATCCCAATATCCACTACTGCTTCGCCAAAGCATTTAATGTTATTCTCATTTGCTGCTGATAGTGTTACAGGTGTAGGGTTTAAGTTCAGATCGAGTGCCATTCTCTGTGCTAAGATTGTTATAGAGGCACCTGTGTCTATCACAAAATTGATCTTATTTGTGTTAATTTTGGTAGCAACCTCAAATAGTTGCGAATAGCCGGTTGCTGATGCAATTCGCATTATCAGTTTTCTGAGGCTTGGGTGGTAGGGTTTCTGGCGGGTGAAGATGGTCTCGAAGTGAGCATTATATGACAGCCGGACTTGTTTGGCCACCTACACCATGGTTTGCACGTCCTCGATTTTTCTGCATAATAGAAATGTCTACGACATACTCGAGGCCTCTGGTTCTCATAGAATGGTCCTGAGCTATAGGTCGTTCTAGGCGTGGCGCTGGTGGAGGCAGTAGATCTGGAGTGTCTGCTTATATGTGGCATAGTGGCGGCTTGTATCATCCTGGGTTTTAAAAATGGTGTTATTTCGTCAGCCAATGTACCCAGTTCCATCAAGGAGGCATTTTTATTGCTGCTTTCACGGGTGTTATTTCCGGGGTAGTGCCTGAATGAACTTATGTCGAACAAGTTCATCTCCGACACCAATCCTGCTGGCTGTCGACATCAGCTCATGGAGATAAGCTGAAGGTCTCCCTGTGATTTGAGTATTAGCCATTAATTTAGCGAACATCTCTGGTTTTGTCCTCTCGTGTCTGGCCATTACTGCGTCTTTTTAATTCTGAATATTTTTAGACGCTATAATAGCGGACGGTAAGCTGGATATCAATTCTGGAGGTAGAACAGACAAAACATGATAAAACTTGGTTTCTTCACTTGTTATGTGTCGCAGTTCAAATTGTGCCTCACAAATGGCAAACCAACCATCTGCTGCCGTGTGCATAAAGACTGGAATTTTGACTGATATAGCTGCTGCGTTTTCTTCCATTTTAGTAACTTACGATAAGGCAACAAGAAGTGGGGAGATAAAAGACAAAGCAAGACGATAAAACAAAACTCTGCTGGACGAAATGTATTTGTGTTAATAAAGAATTTTTTTTTTTTGGTGTGTGTGTGATAAAAGGATGAAAGCAATGAAAGCAGTTACTCACGTATTTTTTCTCTTTTTTTTAAAAAAAGTTTTACACCGCACGTGTATGGCTACAGCAGTAGCCAACTTGACCTGTTGTGGTGGTGGAAGGATGGTAAGCCAAGGATTGGTAGTGGGGAAGCAAGCAAAGTCACACGGGGTTAAAATATTACGACAGTTAAGGTATACTCAGTGTAGGAAGGTTAATTTTTTTTTTCGTCCTCGAAAACTTGAGTGTAGGTATCACGTCGGGGTCACCATTGTGGATGTTATGGCTATTAGTGCTGGGTTGATTCTTTCACCTAAACATCCAAAAACTTGTTGAATGCCTTCGTCGCTGAAATAAATTGACAAAGAAAAGACGGAAGGATACAGAGACACTAGAGGGACAGTTTAGGACACTGATTTTATTTCCTTCTTCTGGATTCCAACGAGCTCTTGTTGGGGAATTTCATCCCGAACAGTTGGCACGTGTTCACCAGTCAAAGGTCCAACCGAGAAAAAGATAGATTCTTCTAGTTTATCTTTGGCGCCAGGGAGTCTCTCTTTTTGTACATGCGTAAATTGTCTTTCCTGTCAGAGGACTCCTGGGAGATTTTAATGTTTATTTTATTTTGTACTTTTATTTAATTTTGTACTTTTATTTAATTTTGTATTTTTATTTAATTCCCACAACACTGACGAGAACTTCAACACTGGTTGCGATGAACTGACACATGACTTCAGACATTCTTCTCTTTAATTTAATTTTTCTCCTCGTTTTATACCAAAAAGAATTTCGCACAGGCTCACTACTTTCTTTCCCTCTTGTATTTGGCTAAACGGTTAATTTCTGTGAAAGCAAGGTTTTCATTGGCCCAAAGAAGATTTTACAGGCTCGCAAGCTGCTTCCTTCTTCCTCAGTCTTTTGAATTTGAAGGAAGTGGGTGAAGGGACTTGTTATTATTTTGCATTCAATACACATTTTTAGTGCAAACTTAAAAAATATCCTTGTTAACTTAACAAGGGTTTCTTCATATGAAATCAGATCTTATGGAATAGTAGGGAGATCCCTATGAAATATATTGAAACGTATCAGTGTTAGAAACCGATTTTAGGGGTCGGGTATTTCCCGGGGGATCGATTTTTATTATGAATTTCTATTGCAAACAAAGCTACCTTATATCCCTGATGTACGCAACAGAAATAGACCATTCTCGATAATTTTTCAATTTTGAAATTCATCAACTTAAAATAACAATTACGTTATTCTTGAATACAAAAATCCGTAAATAAATCCAATGACAGAAACACACTAAAAAAAACAAAAAAAAAAAAAACGTACCGATGGCTCGGAAAGCAGTGCTTTTAAGACACACACACAAAAAAAAACTGACTGAACAGGAGATATGAAACTAGATTAATTCATAAACTCTTCCGATATGGAATAGTAACCAGTGAAAGCGAGATATCAGAATTGTGTCCTTTTCATACATCCATACCCACCAAAATAATTTAAACGTTGCTAAAAGGACAAAAATAAAATTCTTTTAAAAAGAAGGTTCACACACGAAAATGGCATTAAGCATTACATTTTTTTTTTTTAAATCTTCAAACATGTCTTTATTCAATAAAGTGATAAACAGCAACGGGATGATTATAAAAATCTCACTGAAGAATTACAAATAATTTTTTTAAAATAAATATTATTATTATTAATTGTACAATTTTTTTTTCTACTGAAAGAAAATAACGTGTTTTATGAAATTAGACAAGACTATTTTTTGAGTTTTATTGAGTTACAAGACTACCCATGACCTGTCCGATCACTGACGGCTCATGTTAAAAGCATTGAAATTGATTACAACATTCCATTTATTTAAATGAAAGTTAATTTTCTTATAATTCAATTAAATATTTCAATTTGTTTGTGTCATCATTGGTTTGGTTTACAAGTTCATGTTTTACTGATTGCTTACAGTATTTAGAACTTCCGGGATAGACTTGAACTTTAAATCAGACAAACGAAATTTAAAATTTTTAAAAATATGTTTTTGACATATTTAAAAAATATTTTTTAAGTAAATATTTTTAAATATGTCAAAAACATATTTTTTAAATATTTAAAATATTGTTTGTTTAAAGAAAGCTGAAATAAATAAATATTCTACAAACAACTGGACGAAACAGCAAAGCGAGATCTCTTTGTGTCTGTTTTTAAATTAAAAAATATTTTAATTAAAAAATTGTTTGTTTGAAGAAAGTTAAAATAAAAATACTTACTGTATAAACAAATCGTAAATCACTATACCCCGGACGGACGGACGAACGCACCACTTTAGTACTGTAGATTTTTTGGTAAGATATGTTCACACTTGATATTGCATAAATTTTAATGAAATATATTAAGGATTTTTTCTATATAACTGTAAAAAAAAAAATTGTAAGTCCCGCCCCTACCAAAAAAAAAAGAAGTATTTCACGAGATATCGGAAAGGTGCAGTGTGCCTTACACCTGCAAAATATATCTCCAAAGTTTTTTTAATAAAATATCTATTCAGTAGAAAGTCCATTTATTAATGATTAAGTACTGAAAATATTTGCCAAAAATCAGCGATTCAAAATATGGCTACTTCCCGCAGGGGGATCGATAAATTTTAAACGATACTGCTTGAAATGGTCAAACGGCAAAACAAACAGCAAAAATGGTACGAACAAAAATTCGAAAATCTCGTGGAAAGGTTCGTAGAACAACAGAAAATGTTCACGAATAATAAGAATGGATATTCTGAAGAAGCTATCGTAAATAATTACGATCGCAGAATTTCACTATCTACCAGAATAAGATTGAACTTTTTCGTCATATTTCCGTAGATATCAAGATTTGTAAGACTGTGCAAACTGGCCCGACGATAAAAAAAAGGTTAGACTTTTGCTAGGAAAACTAGTCGCTGTCGAACACACTTTCGTAAACTATATATTACCAAAGAAGACTAGTGAGGCAGCTGAGGCGGCTACAAGCGAGGGTCCCATTACAGAATGGGAAATCTGGGAAGCGCTGAAGCAGGTTGGACTGGACAAATCTCCGGGGTTAGATGGTATTCCCTACAGTCGCCAGTTTTTGTTCCTTTGCTGGAACTGATTTACAACAACTGGATGAAGCAGGGATCTATACCTCAACGCTTCACCAGGTTAGGTAACTTTCACCCATTAAGTATACTAAATACAGAGTTAAAGATTTTTTGGTGACCCGAGACGTGAATTGAACACGCAATAATTTTGCAACCTTGCCAACATAATTCTGAGCAAGCTGAAATATAAACGTGCATAAATTCGATAGCCAGAATGACGTCTAATGACTCTGAAGAGTTGGCGAACATGACCGCCGCCGTCACTCCTTTTCCCCCTTTTCATGAAGGGAATATAAAGAACTGGTTCCTGCAAATGGAAGCTATCTTTACAGTCAGAAGGATTACAGACCAAAAAACAAAGTTTGGCCACGTGGTGGCGGTTTTGCCACCCGCCATTGTCGACGAAGTAGCAGACTTCCTAGAAGCCGTTCCTGAAGTAGAGCCCTACGCCCGGTTAAAAGAAGCGATCTTAAGGAGAATGGGCCGTACGGAGGAATCATTAATCCGGGAACTATTTAGCAACCTAACTTGCGATGGCAGGACTCCCTCCCAACTCCTTCGTTATATGAAAAGCCGACTCGGCAAAAATACCATGGCTGACTCTATATTGAAAAGCTTGTGGCTGGACCGTCTCCCCACCACCATTACCCAAATATTGGCGCCTATGTCCGAGAACACCCCAATCGACCAGTTAGCGGACGCCGCTGACCGTATTTTCTCGCAACTGGATCAGCAGACAACGCCAGTACACAGTGCTGAAGCGACTAAGGACCACAGGTCCTTGGAAAAAACAGTGGAGGATTTGCAGCGCCAAGTTAGAGATTTAACATTAGCTCAAAAAAGCCATGGTCGAAGCCGGTTCCCTTCCCGCCGGCGCTTCAGAAGTCGACCACGCTCGTCCAGTCGGAACAAGGATGCCACTTCTACTATGTGTTACTACCACCGACGATTTGGGTCTGCAGCGCACTACTGCACTGTGTACAAGCCGTGTTCCTATACTGCGGTCGCGGAAAACAAAACCGCCAGCGAGTGAAAGCGACTAATCTCGTTGGCAAGGCATTTTCACCGAAGCTTAGTCGCCTTTTCTATGTGACGGATACACGTAATAATTTACGTTTTTTGGTTGACACCGGCGCTGCCATTAGTGTCTTACCCGTGCGTGATAAAGCACGTCAACAACCTTTCCAGCTCCGCCTACAAGCAGCAAATGGTTCCAGTATTAATACTTACGGTACGAAGTCCCTTACCCTAAACATAGGAATGCGACGAGACTTTACCTGGAATTTTACTGTTGCTGACGTCCAGATGCCGATATTAGGTGCCGATTTCCTTGCGCACTATGATCTAGCCGTTCGAATGAACAATCATTCCTTAACAGACAACTTAACAAGACTGTGTGTTCTTGGCACTTATTCTAAACTTACCACCACTGGCATCACCGTGGCAACGTGCCACAATAAAAGTACTTAGACTTATTGAATCAGTACCAGGACCTCCTGCGTCCTGCTGGATCTATTGATTCAACTAAACATCAAACACAATACTTTATTAAGACCACTGGTCAACCTTTTTTTTCCGTCCTCGTCGTCTAGCACCTAACAAATTAAAATTCGCAAAAGCTTTCGACGACATGCTACGAGAGGGTGTTATTCGTCCGTCCGACAGTCCCTACGCTTCCCCTCTTCATTTGGTACCTAAACCAGGAAAGGAAGACTATAGAATTTGTGTGGATTATAGAAGATTGAATTCCATCACCGTCCGGGATCGTTATCCAATCCCCCACCTCCACGATTTCGCTTCTGGTTTACAAGGCGCAAAGATTTTTACCAAAATAGATCTCGCTAAAGCATATTATCAGGTGCCAATAGCTGCTGCTGATGTCCCAAAAACTGCCGTTACTACACCATTTGGTTTATTTGAATTTTTAAAAATGCCTTTCGGCCTTTGCAACGCAGCACAGACCTTTCAACGTCTTATGGACGAAGTTCTGCGTGGACTCCCCTTCGTTTTCGATTACATTGACGACATTCTGATAGCTAGTGAGGACGCTGCCTCGCATAAGCAACACCTACACGAAGTTCTTCAACGTTTGTCTCATTACGGATTCCGTCTAAACCTGGACAAATGTGTCTTCGGATCAGACCATATAGAATTTTTAGGACATCATGTCGATGCAAATGGAATTGCCCCTATAACTGAAAAGATTAAAGCTATCACTGAGTTTCCCGTCCCTGTTTCCATTAAACAGTTGAGACGCTTTATAGGGATGATCAACTTCTATCGGAGATTCATTCCGAACTGTTCTAACATTCTGACTCCCTTACCAACTTATTACAGAAGAAGAATAAGACTATTATACTTGAGAATGAAGCCTTGGACGCCTTTCGAGCAGCTAAAACCACTCTAGGCAATTTTTCTAAGCTCAGTTTCTTAGAGGACGACCCTCAATCGGATATCTACCTGACCACTGACGCTAGCGAAACAGCAATAGGCGCGGTCATTGAACAAGTCAGTCCTTCTCAACGTAAACCCATAGCGTTCTTTTCCGCTAAACTTTCTCCTGCCCAGTCACGCTACAGTACCTTTTCTCGTGAACTGTTGGCTATTTTTTCGTGCTATTAAGCATTTCAGACACCTCCTCGAAGGTAGGTCCTTCGTTATCTTTACGGACCACAAACCTTTAACGTCCATTATGTCCACCAATTCGGACAAATACACTTCGAGGGAAATCAGATATCTGGACTATATATCTCAATTTACTACTGATATTAGGTACATTAAGGGTTCGGATAACACTGTTGCCGATACCCTATCTCGTACTGAGATGTTCGGCGTGCATACTGATGCACTCAGTCAAGACTTGATCGCAGACGAACAGAAAGCGGACATAACTCTGAAGCATGTGTTATCCGACACTTCTTTGGAACTTCAGAAATGTCAGCTCCTTTTAGTAACAAGGTCCTATACTGTGATGTTAAATCAAATCCCCAAGACCTTATGTTCCTCCGTCTCTTCGTAGACAGGTTTTGACCACCTACACGGACTCTCACACCCCAGCAAAAGAGCCACAGTTAAATTAATTTCGGACCGTTTCGTTTGGCCGAATATGAACGTTCACATTCGCGAATGGGTCAATACATGTTTACAATGTCAGAAGTGTAAGGTGCATAGACACACAAAATCTCCTGTGGGCACTTTCAGCGAGCCTGATGCTCGTTTTACTAATATACACCTGGACTTAGTTGGGCCCCTACCAACCTGCCATGGTTATTCCTACCTTCTAACTATAGTGGATCGTTTTTTCCCGATGGCCTACTGCCATCCCTGTCAAAGATACCACTGCTGTGACTGTCGCAAAAGCTATTTTACGCGATTGGATTTCGATTTTTTGGGACTCCTAAAGTGGTTACTACAGATAGAGGAGCACAGTTCCAGTCGTGTCTTTTCAGGGAATTCACTGAACTCCTTGGTGCAAAGCATATACGTACTACAGCGTATCACCCCTGTGCTAATGGGCTGGTGGAACGATTCCATCGCACCCTTAAGGCTTCGCTATCAACGAAGCATGAGAATAATAATTGGGTCGATGAATTACCCTCATCCTTCTATCGTTAAGAAATATTCTTAAGGATGACTTGAAATGCTCCCCTGCAGAGCTTGTATTTGGTACTTCGTTATCTTTACCTGGCCAATATTTTTCACCAGCTGTGACCACACCACCAGTTTCTTCCTCTTTTATTCAGGACTTACGCCTTAAAATGGCAAACTTATGCTATACACCACCGCGGCACTGCCCGAGTGATATCTATTTACCGCACCAGCTCAAGGACTGCGAGTTTGTATTTGTACGTAACGACTCTGTTAAGCGGCCTCTTACGCCGGCCTACACAGGCCCATACCGCGTTCTTAAACGCGCGGACAAATATTTCCAAATACAAAAGGTATTCACACCGACAACGTTTCAATAGATCGGTTGAAACCTGCCTTTATAGAGAAACCGTCGTCTCATACTACTTCCCAATCAACTCCGCAAGTTCAGGAGAATTTCAAGACACCTGTTTCTCTCGACAAGCCTAAGTATACCAGCTCTGGTCGAAAAGTCACCTTTCCAAAGAAATTTGAAACATTCTACTATTATTAGTCAAATGTCTGCGACATTTGATCCAGGAGGAGGGCTGTGTGGAATAATGTATTATTCCATCTACGACATTTTACGCGCGCGCGAGTTTCCTCCCTTTCTTTCACACTCGCGGGCGCGCGCGCGCGTTTGACACCCCTTTCTCCCTCTTTCGGTCTAATACAGTAGTAACTGTTTTGGTCGGCAGTCAAGCGACCTATTCCTGTTTATGCAAATTAGATTTTTGAAATCTTGCCGCGAAAAATTTGTGACGTCAACGACAAACTGTTGTTTCAGAAAAGTCAGTTGTGATCCAGATTCGGACCTGGGTAGACTCATTTGTATCCATGTCAATATTTTAGGTTGACTGACGAAGGATATCTTACGATGCCACACCAAATATTAATTCTGCGTCCCTTTTTGGCTCGTCATTCAAAATCCTTTTATAAGACGATGCATATACCAAATAATTAATTCTTCGTCCCTTTTGGCTCGTCATTCAAAATCCTTTTCCGAGATGATGCAAACACCAAATAATTAATTTTTCGGCCCTTTTCGTCATTCAAAGTCCTTCTACGAGATGATGCATATGGCTTTTCGGCCCTTTTGACTCGTCATTCAAAGTCCTTTTCCGAGACGATGCAGAACATACAAAATATTAATCCGTCGTCCCCTTTGGGCCTCGTCATAAATCTGTTTTGAACCAGTACAAAAAAAAAAAAAAAAATATATACATAACATTTCACTCACATTACAAAAAAAAAAACTCGCAGTGAGTATTTTTTCCTTGTATGTATATTATCATGTACATTGACTTATCTGGAACCTTTCTTCTTCAAGAACTTTTTCCCGCCTTTAGCCATCTTGTTTTCTATTTTGGCGCGGAACTTTTTTCATTGATCCCTACTACGGGATAATTTACTTGTTTTTCCTGCATTTAATAAAAATTACTCTTGTTGGAATCCAGTCTTTTTTCTGTCATTCTGTGTCGGCTATCTTAATATATTTTATTTTATGCACGTGTGGATTAACCACATTTCTTCGTTGTTCATTCACGCACATTTTTTATTTTTTTACTTTGCTTGTAGACTCGGTAGTTTAGTGTGGTGTCTGGCACAAGGCCACTTAGTAATAAACCAGCACTGCACCCTACCGGAGCCGCACTGATCAATTTAGATCAGTCCAAAACCTTCGATAGGGTTGACCATCGATTTCTGGAGGCTGTTCTTTCGGCGGCCGGTTTCGGGACGCAGTTTCGCACCTGGATCCGACTTCTGTGTGTGCTGGTGGAAATGAATGGGATACGTTCTTGCGTTGGAAGCTTTCCTTCGCAAGTTAAAGGCGAATCCAGTCCTACGCGGAATTTCCCTACCTGGTGCTACCACCTCGGCTAGGTATTCTGCCAAAGATGATGACGTTTCGGTTCTTGTGTCGAGCAGAGCCAAAATTGACGAAGTCAGCAAAGAAATCAGAGGGTACGAGACTCTGACGGGAAAAGAAAATCAACCGCGATTTTTTCTCTTGGCTTGCAGTTGGGTGCGTGGAAGAGAGCTTCTCTTTCCGGACTTTTCCTCTGGACAGATGGTCCGATCAAGATACTCGGCGTCTGATTTGGTCCTGATGTACATCTGGAAATGAATTGGTCGAAGCTACAAGGGAAAGCCGAGATCGCAGTTAATCTGTGGTCTCGGAGGAACCTTTCCTTAAAGGGAAAAAAAAGTATGTTTTTCCACAGATTTACCCGATTCTCCTTTACCGACTCTCTGTGCTTCCACTTCCGTATACCACACTAATGTCATTAGTAAGGCTTCTTTTCCCATTCTTGTTGGCAGGTAAGGCCGCTAGTGTATCTCGGGAGGTCTATTACCACCACCCTTCTGAAGGCGGCCTGAATATGCCTAGCATTAAGATTCGTC